TATAGAGTGAGGAGATCATGCGGATAAAAGTACTTCTTAGCCCTAAACAAATAGCCTAGCTTTTTCCCAGCAGCTGCTACTATTCACGAGATGTGTTCGTGCCAGATCAGGTGCTCAGTGGTCTGGACTCCGACCTATCGAAATGAATGGCTCTTTTGCAGAACTCGGCCATCCATCGAAACTGGATGAGCTTTAGAACGCTTTTTGTTCGTCAAGGTACAGTACTGTGTTTTGGAAGCATTAAACTGTTCAAGCAGTAATAACCTCCAGGTCTCTCGTCAGAGAGGAAGTGGTCGCTAGTCTTCTTTTTTCCAGCTCAGCGGTAGAGGGGACGACCATGGTGGAGTTGGCAGCAGTACTTCCGCCTTGGCCTTTGAGTCCGATACAATCGTTCCATCCTGATACGTAAGTGCTGGAAGGCTACTGTGTGAAAAGTTATTTTCAATCTGCTTGGCCAGGCGTCCAGAAAGACCGACTGCCATTGCGCTGTGACATTACCCTGTGCCTAACTTATATTGTGCTGGTTTTTGGCATTGCGAACCGCTTCGTTATATTTGACTCGACGTCGGCTTGTGTGTTGTCTACAGTGGGGTTTTGTAAGAAGGTTCTGCGTGCTTTGATCTTCTGCTGGCGAGCACTGGCACACGATTTGTTAAACCGGAAGTTGGACCCTGGTTTAGGCACCTTCACTGTGTCAGGGATGTACTCTCCCATTCCGCCGTGGATAATTTCGGTTATCGACGAACAGACAGCAGACGCCTCCGCATCGGTGAAGCAGTGACTTCTTTAAGGAAACGTATAGAAGAAATCTCTGAGGCCCTCTCAGTCGGCATGTCCGTAATGCCAAATTTTGCGGCCTGTGCGAGTTTTTGCTGCCACAGCGGGTTCTGACCGAGACCTGACCTCCACAACACAGTGGTCTGAGTTGCACAAGGGAGACAGGACAGCAGTGCTGTAAGGGGCAGGATGCGTGGTCAGAACTAGATCCAGAAGACTACTGGCATGTGACGAGACACGGGGGAAAAAAGTAAGGCCCGTCACCAGCTGGGTCAGCCCTTAAGTAAGAGCGAACCCTTCAACTGCACGACCTGCTACATCGGTCTTGTTTGAGCCCAACCACGGCAAATTATGGCCATTGAAATCACGGAGGAGAACTACCTCTGAAGCGGGGTGATTGATGTTCAGGAAGTCGATCTGGACGGCGAGGTGTTCGAGTAGGTCATCCCAGTTATGTTCCGAGGGAGAGCGATAAATGCAGCAGATAAATTTGGGTGATGCTTTGGAGTTGAGGTGAAGCCACAGAATGTCCTTCCGGCCCGATTCCAAAAAAACATCTCTGGAGCAGGAAAGTCTGCTGCAGACAAAGGCCACAACTCCCCCGGCCTTTCTCAGACTGCACCTCGTAATTTGGGAAGCTAAGTTGGTTAATCGGTGCGGACTCTGAGATTTTTGTCTCCGCCAACAAAAGCATGGCGGAACGATTGGATTGCAAGCAGTGATGAACAGCATGTTGCTGTTAATCCCGCAGACATTCCTGAGACAAATTTTATCTTCGATGTTGTGACCTCGGGTTCACGTTCCACCCAGACACTTCGAGAGTGGTGTGAGTTTACGTCCGGAATTCTTAGTACTCGAGGATCCAGCATCTTAGTTTCTTTGTTTGGGAAGATAACCGACTGCATAGCTTAGGTGTGGAAACATGCGGACATTTATAAGAAAGCTAGCGGGTGGTACCGCCTCGGTCGACTGGTCCTTGTCTACCACCTTCTTTTTGCATGTTAATGATATTAAATAGACCTAAGGTGGCCCGTTAGCGGACTTGTACCGCCACCCAGCAATCGGTACTAATTCCTCAACGCATGTACAATCACTTGAACGAGAAGAAGTTGAATGCTGGATACAACAACTTCAATATAGATGTTGCCGTTATTTTTCAGACTGTCATTGTCAAGCTTAGATTTACGGCATAGTTGTTGCCTTCTCAGTTTTCTAACCGGTGTTGATCGCATGTAAAAATGTTGGATATCCTTGGAAAAAACTATATCTGTTAGATCGTAATTATTTTGATAATGTATGTTTGTTCGAAACAAGTGCAGGAATACAGGGCTGTACATATTCACGTGTAGTACACCAGCTCTGTGATTAAAACGAACTCAATATAGCAACATAAATGGACACATACGCGAGAAGAGATGCGGGACATGTGGTATTGACTTTGAGCATCGATCGACGCAGTTTCTGGACAGGCCACATGCGCACCGCTGAACAAATCTCATAAATGTCTATTTCCAATTTAGGCGTTCATCTAACCGTGCTTCGCTGCAACACCAACCCTGAACAATTGTCGCTAAGTCTCACCCGACCACGTTTGAATTCTCCATACCAACGGGAAATTGTCGATTGATGTGGCGCTTCGTTGCCGAAATCAGACAGTAACTCAGCAAGGCATTCTTGTTGCGATAATTGTCTCTGAAAGTAATAAATTATGGCGCGAAAACGTTCTCGGTTGAGTTCCATTTTTCTAATGACTTGGTGATACTTAAAAATTCACTGTAGTGAGAATCCTGCACGTACTGTTGTGAAACTTTGAATTTACGTTTGCTAAAGAGTGAGGTTAAGATTCAGTATTGACGTTCGATCCGCGCGGCCTACTATGTTTCTATATGCAAAACTTAAAAGACATCTCTCGTATAGGGATGGGTCACTGCCAATAACTTCGCTCTTAAGGTATAGTTTCAGAATAGAACGCTGCGTTCAGGATTAAGTTTCTTCATAGTAGATTAAGAATATGCATTGTGATTTTCCAATTGAAAATCCTATTCTTCTGTATTCGAAATGCCGGATTTTCAATTCACGTGCCAACTGCTGTGAGTTGGGAAACAGAAATGTCGCGAAGTTTCACTGTCAGACATTTACATGAAAACGATCGGACGGGCGCGAATATAGACAATATCCGATCGACTGAAATAAATGTCTCATTTTCCATTTTTCTATCTCGGTGCGGAGAACACGTGGGCAAAAATATATTTTCCAGGAGTTCGGAAACATTTATTTCCAGGCGATTTTCGTAGGTACTGAGTATTCCATTTTTCTGACTAGTGCTGACATGACAGCGAGACGTTGGGCCAGATATTCTTACCATAATACTCAAAAGACCTTACGCGAATAAACGCAAAATTTACTTTGAAGTAGTGAATGGATTATACCAGTCCAGCCCCAAAGAGTTTACATAGATTCTCAACGTACTCTGAGGAATTCTTGGGGTGTTCAGATAGGGACGCTCGATGTTTGAACGGCGCGTGCGCCCAAACAGATGTTCGGTTCGTGAAACGTTCCGCGCATTGCGTCCAATTTATGGTGCGCATGGCCGTCCTGCTGAGTCCACTATTCGACGTCTGCTCAATAAATTTGAGAGAACTGGCTCAGTGGCAGACCAAACAACACCCGTACGGCAACGAACAGTAAGAACAATCGAGAATATTGCTGCTGTGCGAGAGAGCGTGCGTCAAGACCCGAATCAGTCATTGCGGCGACGTGCACAAGAACTTGCCCTTCCAAAGACCTCAACATGGACAATTATGCGTCGAGACTTGAAATTGCACGCGTACAAAATTCAATTGACGCAAGAATTGAAACCGCAAGACCATGGACAGCGCCGTACATTTGCCTCATGGGCTCTAGAGCAGTTGCAAGTCGACCCTGCATTTGCACGAAAAATCATCTTCAGCGACGAGGCGCATTTCTGGATGAATGGGTATGTCAATAAACAGAATTGCCGTATATGGGCTGACCAAAATCCTGAAGTGACTTGCTCAATTGCTATGCATCCTGCTAAAGTGACTGTATGGTGCGGTTTCTGGGCTGGCGGCGTAATCGGTCCATATTTTTTTGAGGACGCTATGGGCAACGCGCTTACGGTCAATGGAGATCGGTATCGCGCCATGATTAATGATTTCCTGTGGCCTCAACTGGACGATATGGATCTAACAGACATCTGGTTCCAGCAGGACGGCGCTACGTGCCACACCGCACGCGCAACGCTGGATTTACTGCATGAAAAGTTCAACGGTTTCATTATTTCGCGCGGCGGCGATGTGCACTGGCCACCAAGATCGTGCGATATAACGCCTTTAGACTTTTTCCTGTGGGGCTACGTGAAGTCTCAAGTGTATGCGGATAAGCCACAAACAATTGCAGCATTTAGGGCCAACATCATTCGCGTCCTCGGACAGGTAGACGCTGAAATGTGCGGAAAAGTGCTCGAAAATTGGACCATGCGAATGCACGCTGTACAGCGCAGTCGCGGTGGCCATTTAAACGATATAATCTTCCATACATAATGTCGTCGAATGCTATTTACGATCAATATAGACTTTTAGTGCTGACTTAAATTTTTTTCCTTTTTTTTCCATTTTAACTTTCGAGCGTCCTTATCTGAACACCCTATATATTGATATATACTAATTATGACTAAGTCACCCGTGTACTTTATGTGCTCCAGCTTTAACACCATAGCGGATAATTTAACGATCAAACGAACTTACCTGAAGTTCGATCGTAATTATATCGATCGTCCATTCCGAAGATGTATTTAACTAAGGTAGTACGCTCATGCGTACTGCGCGCCACACATTTTTAAGATGAATAGTAGCGCGAGCGCGGATATGTTCTTCCCGCTCGCCGCCGTCCGCTGTAACTGCCTCCCCGTTTCATTCCTTCAAAGATTGTTTTTCAATGCATATGAGCAGGGTGAAAAGCCACTGCATTTCAGGGAGGGGGGGTTTCTACATCTTCGGAATGGACGATCGATATAATTACGATCGAACTTCAGGTAAGTTCGTTTGATCGTTAAATTATATCTCACGTCTATTCCGAAGATGTATTTAACTAAGGTAGATGTTCAAAGATACAAACCACAAACATATGCATTGATGTTTTATATACGAAATAAGTTGAACAAAACTGCTATCATAGCAAAAGTAAAATAAGGTGAAAATATTCTACTTTATACTCGTTGAGAGTATCGTGTTTGCAAAGTCATCATCCGCTTGTAGTGGTCGGTCGTAGAACCTTGCAAAGGTTGCCGTCTTCTGAGACCAGCCTGCAGTTTTACAAATAGTGTCTACCGACAGCCCTGCCCTACGGACTGCTGATGTTGCTGCGTGCCTAGTTGAATGAGGTTTAAATACAGTCGTATTTACTCCCGATGACATAAGTGTCTGTTTTACCCAACGGGCAAGGGTTTGCTTTGTTGCTTTTTTATGGGGTTTTACATAAGTTAAAAATAAGAAATCTTCATTATTTCGGATTTCTTTCGTTGACTCTAAGTACTGCAGCACTGTTGAGGCTGGGCATATGTTGGGATTTGGTGTGAAGAACGGGAGACTCAGAAAAGGCTGATCATTGAGGCTAAGTGACGTCTTTACTGGGTCCGTAATCATTATTTGTAATCTGGTTTCGTCTCTGTGAATGTTTGATACCCGGATTAAAGAGATCGTTTGAAGGCGGCCACCTGTTACCAGTGAAAGTAGGGTCACCAGTTTGTGGGTGAGGCTTTTAAGTTGGTTGTTAGGGAGATTTCCTAATGCTGTAAGAACTGGTTGAGGATCCCACGTGAACCTATACCTGGGGTTCATTGGTCGTCTTCTGGCTACCCCTTTCATGAACCGTTTTATCAGGGGGTGTGAACCTAGGCTATCGGAGGATATAAGGGAGATCGCAGATCTGTGGCTGTTTAAACTTCCATAATTTAGTTCAGTTGTATTGATAATGTTCTGAAGGAATTCTATTACCTGCAGGACGTTTGCCTGAAATACTGGTATCTGCTTCTCTTCACAGTACTTATACCATAGACGGTAAGTACACGCATACTGGCTGATCGTAGCTGTCGATATTGAATCGATTATGGTCTCTACCGCCTCATCCGATATTCCTCTCAGTTGAAACCCCTGCCGGATAATTTCGCGGCCACTAATGTTAATCTGTTGGCCAGAGGGTGGGTTGAACTGAAAGGAGAAGTCAGAAGATTATCGTCAGGTCCAAAAGTAACAGATCTTCCAACTTGTAGTTTCTCTACAAGCGGATACCATGCCTGGGCACGCCAGTCTGGTACTACTACAATTCCCTCAGCTTTATCCTGGATAATTTTTTGTAACACCTTCAATATTAAGCAAAATGGGGGGAATGCATAAAAATAAATATCGGTCCAGCTAATAGTAAATGCATCAACTGCGACCGAATCCGGATCTTTCCTCCATGATACATATCGTCGACATTTGTGATTTATTTTTGAGGCAAAAAGGTCAACGTCAGGAGATCCGAATTCGTGTTTTAAAACATCGAATGCTGAATCTGCCAGAGACCATTCTGTTTCGGTTGAGACTACTCTGGACTCCCTGTCTGCGTCCAGATTGTCCTTTGTGTTGACGTATGAAGCGAATACCCAAATATTTCTGGCTTGACACCATTCCCAGATGTCTCGCGTTCTGTTGTTGAGCTTGGTAGATTGTATACTGCCCAAACGGTTGATGCAAGATATTGCCGTCGTGTTATCTGATCTAATCAGAATACTGCATTTCCTTGCATCCCGGGCGAAACATTTTAAGCCATAAAGAATAGCTGTAAGTTCTAAGTAATTTATATGATTATCTTTTTCTGGATTGGACCAAAACCCATGGGTTTTGTCGTGTCCTCTACATGCACCCCACCCAGTCAGTGAGGCATCTGTGAATATTGTCATACTATAGCCTGTCTGTTTAATATCGGCTTCCGCATTTAAGATGTTTCGCTCCCACCAGATTAGGTCATTATCTATAAATAAAAAATTATAGTTGTAGTTGTTCGCTTCTAGAGCTGAGCACTTTAGTTGTTCCAAACGCTTGGTGTACAACCAGCCGTACTTAACCGCAGGGCAGGCTGCGGTTAAGGTGCCTATGAACTGTGCAAGTTCTCTTATACTGCATGTATCCCTTTTTCGGAAAGACGTTGACATGTTTTTAACGGACGTTTTCTTTTCCGACGGTAGGGATATTTTCATATTTTTGGTGTCGTATTGAAATCCTAAAAATATTTTTCTCTGTTCTGGAGTCAACGAACTTTTTTCAAAGTTTATGATGAAACCTATGGACTGTAATGTGTTTACCACAATTTTTGTGTGTTCCCTACATTTTTCAGACGAGTCACTGATGACTAGGAAATCGTCTAAATAGTTGACCAACAGAATCCCTTGAGTACGCAGGTTTTCCAGGACGGGTCGCATTATTTTTGTGAAACAGTACGGTGCTGACGAGAGACCAAATGGTAAGCAATTGAATTCAAATGTATTAGAATTAAACCTGAACCTCAAATACTTCCTAAATGATTTGTCTATTGATATTAGGAAGTATGCGTCTTTTAGATCGATGGTTGCCATCCAGTATTGCTTTTGCAATAGTTTTAGTACTGTCCGAAAATCTTCCATTTTGAAATGCTCGTATTTCACGAATTCATTAAATTTTTTCAAATTTAAAATGAACCGTTTCTTTCCGTTGGATTTTTCAGTTAGGAAGTAAGTTGAAACGTACTGGTCTTTCCTCTCCGTACATGATGATACTGCTCCGATATCTAGTAGCTCCCTGATTGCCAAGGCAATCAAAGGGTCGCACTGAGTGTGGGCAGTTTGATTCTGTTTCTGAACAGGTGTTGCTAAGAGAGGGATCTTATATCCCTTAATCCAGGATAGAACTGTGGAATTGTTCGTTATACATTTCCAAGACTCGACAAAATGGGATAGTCTGCCCGCTAGCTTAGAATGACTTACCTTTATTGGTATCTGCTCCCTGGGGGGCGACTTTGCTTGGAGGTTTGCCCTTTCCTCGGCCCCGAGTCCCTCCCTGACTGGCGAGGCGGGCGTTGCCTGTTTAAAGACGGGCGGTAGCTAGTCGCTTTATATGGAGTACGAGCATTGTATGCAGTTTTGGAGGTACCATGCTGGCGCTGAGAGGTGTGCCCCCCCCTCTTCTGATGCCGGATGGCCCTGCCTTGTTGCTATAACCGTCTTGTCTTAAGTCGTTCCCAGCTTTTTCTGCAATTTTTGCCATTTTAATCTTTTCTGCCAAATCGGTGCCGTATAGATATTCCCCCGGAATAGTCTCTTTGATGGTATCTTTCACCGATTTGGAGAGAAGTTGTGAAATATATTCCCTACGGGTCGTCGAGATCTCATGGAATAGCTGGGTCATGAATGTGCCCACATCTGCTAGATGTGGTAGCAAGTGCATTTTTAGATCAGAATCAACATTATTCTTGATTTCATTGATGACATAATTCATGCATTTGCCAAGCGCACTTGTACTTTTTCCCACCAATAGCTGATATCTTGCATGGCATTGGTCCCTCTTAACATATGCTTGAGAAAGAATGTGAGCAACTTCCGGGTTGACTTTTGGAGGATCAAGAGTAGGAAAATTATTGGGAGGCCTATGGCGATCCAAAATTTGATCCATATTTTCCTTTCCTATGCCTTGGGCTATTGTTTGTGACCAAACTTGTCTTATAGCATCATTGAGATGATACGACTGTTTTGTTTCGGTGTCAGTGTCAATGCCTAATACCTCTTTAATGCACTCTGGAAGTTGCTCCGCCTCATTCTCAGTGTTTTCAGCTTGTAAATTTATGTCGTCTTGGAGTACGAGTGTATCTAGGTCATCCAGTTCCGGATGGTCTTGGTTTATAGCCGGACAGTTCGATGCCGGGCTTCTACCACTGGTGACACTCGCCGAGTCGTACGAGGCTCGGCTCATGCTACGTCGGTCTATTTTTTCTTTTGAAAATCGTGAAGAAGTCGGGCTGTTCAAAAACCGACGCTCTCTCGATGTATTTCTAGGATTTTGGTATCGATTGGAAGTTGGGCTGTGCGAAACCCGACGTTCTCTCGATGAATTCCTAGAGTATTGATATTCGGAAGTCGGTTTGTCCAAAGTTCGACGTTTCCGAGTCGTATAATTGTGGTTACGATCCTCCGAATCTGGCACCCCCCTTCTTTTTATCGAAGTACGGTCCTGTACTAAGGATCGACTGCGCGAACTAGAGCGGGGCCTCCTCGGAGAAATGCTTCGACTGTGCCGACGTGAATGGGACCTACGATCTCGCTCCTGCCTGTTTAGTCTATCGCGAAGCTCATTAATTGTTTTTTGTAAGTCTCTACGCGATAGTTTGTCGCTGGATCGGCTTCTCTTGCGTTTCCCCATGCTGTAAAACAAGCCCTGTGGAGAAATAGTTGCTCACCAGAACGATTTTAACGTGATTAGTATATAATAGTTCACTTTCTCGAATTAACATTAAATGCACAGCAAATAAACTAGGAAGCCTTGTTCGTGAAATTGAGAAAATGCAAAAGAAAAATCTGGGACTGTGCCAATAAAAATATCATTATTTCGTATTATCCTGATGTAACAGAACATTCTATGAATGTCGTGAATAGCAAAATAATACTATCATACCTGTACTATTGGTTTTTCGTCTTTTGCGGAGCCGGGCACTGAAACTACACGTGTGGACGCGACGCACACATAAAAGCGAATGAAACGGGGAGGCAGTTACAGCGGACGGCGGCGAGCGGGAAGAACATATCCGCGCTCGCGCTACTGTTCATCTTAAAAATGTGTGGCGCGCAGTACGCATGAGCGTACTACCTTAGTTAAATACATCTTCGGAATGGACGTGAGATATAATTGTGACATTGATCATGATAAAGTCAATGATATATTAGCTGTATTCAGCGACTACTATTATTCAATTTGTAGCATTTAAGACAGGTAGGTGGGTAGGTGTAGCTATAAACTTTTTTCATTCATTGTTTTTCAGAAACTGGGCGAGCTATGATTGTAGCTAAAAATACCGTAACGTCAAATTGTAATTAATTATACTAAGTGACATATAAATCCAAACACCCAGTTTAAATGGTTTTATTTTAATAAAATTTTGTATAAGTACTTAATGAAGCATAATAAGTAAATAATAAAAATTTCAAAATGATTGCACTGCTTTAAAGCCCTTTGACCTTTAATAATGTGTGGATGCACCCTGATGTGCTACGCATTCTCCAACGCGCCTAGGCATGCTTCTGATCAGGTGGTCAATGTCCTCCTGTGGTATCTCATTCCAGGCAACCACCAACTCCTCTCGAAGTGCTTCTAGAGTCTGAGGAGGACGTTGCAAATTGAGCAATCTCCTACCCATCATATCCCACACGTGCTCAATTGCGGATAAGTCGGGAGATCTTGGTGGCCATGGTAACAATGTGACATTATTATGTTGAAAGAAGTCTATTGTGACTCTTGCAACATGTGGTCGGGCATTATCTTGTTGGAAAGTTGGATCTGCCAGGGTGTCAAGATAGGGTAAAAGATGGGGTTCTAGAACTTCGTGGATATAACGCTGCGCGTTCATGTTACCTCTGATGAAGATTAAAGGTGACCTGGAACCATAAGCTATAGCACCCCAAACCATAACTCCAACAATGTGATGAACATGTCTTTCAACAAAAAACTGTGGATTCCTCCTTTCACCACGTCGTCTTCTAACCCTGGCACGATCATCGTGCATGCCTAAACAAAATCGAGACTCGTCACTAAAGACAATACTGTTCCTTTCCTGTTCCCAGAGTGACCGTTGTCTGCACCACTCAAGGCGATTACGTCGGTGTTCTCTAGTTAAAGGGAGGACCCAGTGTGACCGGTATGAAAACAAGCCAAAACTTCTCATTCGTCGGTAAACACTTCGCATGCCAATAAGTCTTCCGTGTTCTGCAAACCATTTACAATGGGCCTGGTAGTGGAGAAACGGTCCCTTAAGGCCAATAATCTTAGGCGGCGATCTTCACGGTCTGTTGTTCTACGGCGGCGTCCAGTGCCCCTTGCTCTTTGCGTACGACCTTCTCGAAGCCATGCCTGACAACACCTAACCACAGTGTCTACACTTCTTTGCACTCTAACTGCAATTGCCCGAAAAGAACGTCCAGCTTCCCGAAGTCCCACTATACGGCCCCCATCAAACTCACTAAGTTGACGAAATCGTACAGGTCTCCGTACTCTAGGCATCGTAACCGATCGTAAAGGATGTCAAGAACCAAAATCCGCCAACGTTGATTCTTTACTGCGGCTGAAATATTCATTTTTAGAGCGTTAGTGAATTAAAAAAAGCAGTATAAAAACCGGAATGTCCAACTGATAAGGCTGAAAATTTTTCACTTGTTATTTACAGTAAGATAAATACATTCACCAACTTTTATTAAAATAAAACCATTTAAACTGGGTGTTCGGATTTAGATGTCACTTAGTATAGGTGTATTTGCATCTGCATATGAGCTTTTGTCAACTTATTCTTCCATTAAATTTAAATGTATCTACTTCTTCTTGCGTATTTTTCTCTATATGTGTTATTATATTGTTTTATTAGTTTTCAATAGGGTGTATGTCTATGATACGTTCAATATATCATCCTCGAGGAGGATTTTATCTGTTGAATTATGTATATACAGGGTGGCGCATCGAAAAAGAAACAGACGCATTTACTGGCAGCTCATTTTTTTTTTGGAAAAACGCCCAGACCCGTCGATTTTGTTTTCGAGGGGGACACAAGTTTGGCAAAAAATCACGTTAGCACGTACAGCCGCGTAAGCGGGGGTGACACCACCCCAAAATCTTAAATGGAAAGGGGGGTCGAGTGATACCTTATTTTAAAGGTCTTTCATCTTTATAATAATATAAAATTAATGTACTTCAGTTCAGTAGTTCTGAAGATTTATTGATTTAAAGGTTAAATAAAACTAATACAGCATCATCAGTGGAGATCAATACATTTGGCAGCAAGGTAATTTAAAAATGAAGAATGAACTGACCTGTTAGGCAAGTAAATGTTGAAAATGGCCACCATGACTCTCCATGCAATAATAAAGATTTTGGTCAAACGCTTTTTGCAATATTTGAGGAGTAATTTGAAGGCACTCATTCACAATTCTTTGTCGCAGGTCTTCTAATGATGTTGGCTGAGTAGCATAGATTTTGCTTTTAAAATGACCCCACATAATGAAATCCAAAGGTGATAAATCTGGCGATCTTGGGGGCCATGCAATGGCACCTCTTCTACCAATCCATCGATCTGGAAACGTCTGATCTAAATATTATCGAACACGTCATGCACCTATTCGCAATGTACCGCCAATCATTCTGGTTTTCAATTATGGCTGTTAGTGCAGGATCTATGGCGTCTTCCAGTAATCCCAAATACATTTCACCGGTCAAATTTCCAGATAAGAAAAAAGGACCAACTAAATGATCGCCAAAAGTACCAGCCCAAACATTTAATTTTTGTGGCTGCTGTGTATGAACCTCATGATAAATTCAGGGATTAGAATCGGACCAATATCGGCAGTTATGATGATTTACAACGCCATTTAAGAAAAAGGAACAATAGTCGGAAAAGCAAGTGTTGAATAGAAAATTTTAATCGTTTATAATTCGTTCACTCATATCTTCATAAAATTGTAATCGCCGATCAAAATCGTCTTCATTAAGTTCTTGTACCAGGTGAATTTTATACGGATGAAAACTTTGGGCCTTTAGACTCCGTTGGACAGTACGTCGACTAACACCATACACAGTCTCCAATTTGCGGGTACTTAACGTAGGATCTACATAAACATGCCCTAAAACCCCCACACCCCCACTTCTATCGCTTCGATCCTTATGGGGTTTCCAATATTGCGTTTTTTATTGGCGACTGACCCAGTTTCCCGAAATTTAGCTACAAGTTCTAGAACATATTTTCGATGCACGTTACTGTTCTCATGTCGCTCATTAAATATTTCTGCTATTCTATTAGCGCACTGATTATTTCCGAAAAATATTTCGATAATTTCAACTCTAATAAGTAAGAGATATTTCCTTATCTTTCTTCAAGAAATAACTTTTTTACCACAAGAAAACGCTTCAATAGGTATTTTCAACAACAAAATGATAAACAAACCATGGGCGTAGTGAAGAAAAGCATGTACTTGTTAAGTAAATTCTTTTAGTCAAATTTCTTCTGAAAGTAGTACAAACTAATCTGATGTACCTATTAAAGTCTACTTTAAGCTTTAAATCAATAAATCTTCAAAACTACTGCACTGAAGCTCATGTATTTTACATCACTATAAAAGTAATTGAAAGACCTTTAAAGTAAGGTAACTTGACCCCCCTTTCCGTTTAAGATTTTAGGGTTAGTGTCACCCCCGCCCAGGGTGCTGCACGTGTTAACGTGATTTTTTGCCAAACTTGTGTCCCCCTTAAAAAAACAAAATCGACTGGTCTGAGCGTTTTTCAAAAAAAAACTGAGCTGCCAATAAATGCGTCTGTTTCGTTTTCGATGCGCCACCCTGTAGAAATAAATAATGTGTCATTTATCCGTGACCCCTAAAACCCACCCTGTTGATGGCTTGACTGTTTGAATGTTCTCGGCCGTCTCAAAAGTAGGACTCTTGAGGGAGATTTATCAACTTCGGGAAGAGAAATAATCACAAGGACATAAGTCAGGCGAATAGGGAGGCTGGTGAGCGACAGGAATGTTTTTACTGGTCAAGAACTCGTTTATTGACATTGCTGTTGCGACACCCAGTTGTTCTTCATCTGATGAGCGGTGGCATGAGTCAGATTAAACTCTTCCCCGATCATTCTGACTGTCAACCGACGAGCTGAACACACAGGATCCCGGATTCTGTAGATACTTCGGTTCTTGAAGATGGAGACCTTTTGCGTCGTGATTCATCTTCAATCGACTCCCCTTGTTGAAAATGAAAATGCCTTAAACCAGCCAAAAGACCTGGACTCTTGACAAAACACTATTTCTCTAGGCCTGCTGAAGTTTAGTAAGAAGCTCCGTTGCACTGTGCCCAAGACTGAAGTAAAAACTGACAATTGCTGAAACTCCGTTTCAGGGGTTCCTAATCATTGACATAAAAAAATTGTACTGCTTAAAAAAGGGGGGGTGGATCAGTGAAATACGTTCTATTACTAAGAAGCTTCTGATCCCAATGATTACAGGAAATTTAAGTATCGAAAATCCGACGAATAATGTGCTCACGATTTAAAAAAATCGGTGCCTGCTCTATAGATTTGACACCAACAGCCAACAGATCTGCAACTACCGACAGTAGGGAAGAATAAATTCGAATATCACTCCAGTCAAGTATAGGGGAATTTAGCGTGGA